ACACATACATGTTACATATAAAGCTCTCCCTGTCGCCAATGACACAGCGTGTGTTTCCATCTGTCATTATCGATCGTGAATTTGGTTGACACTTCTATTATAGAGAAAGAACGAATAGTGATATTAAAATATTTCTTCTAATTACTTTCCTTTTAATGTGCACAAATTCGTGCACAGGGCCACTAATTATTTAATAACTAGGGGCCCAGTGCACGAATTCATGCACCTTGAAAGGAACTGTGGGCTGCAAAGCTGCAGTGGGCACAGGGGCAGGTCTCAGCTCATCCTCAGTGCCCCCACACAGCCCCTCCTGTCGTTACCCCCAGTCCCGTCTGCTGCTCCCATGTGCTGATGGTGCCTGTCCCGCTTGCACCCACTGATGGTGAGGAGTAATTGGGGCCGGCACCAGCAGCGGGTGCGAGCGGCAGCTGCTGCCCGATTGCCTCTCAGGAGCAGGGTGAGTTGGAGAAACCCTCTGGGGCGATTGGGGCCCACAGCTGCCGCTCGCACCCGCTCATGCGCTGAGTAATTGGGGCCGGCACCAGGCACCAGCAGCAGGTGCAAGTGGTGGCTCCAGCACCACCTGTGGGTGCCAGCAGCAGCTACAGTGCAGGTAGTGGGTGTGAGCAGCGACCCCAGTGCCATCTGCAGGTGCGAGCGGGGCCGTCGCCGTCAGCGGGTGTGAGAGGCAGCTGCTGGCCCCGATCACCCCTCAGAAGCAGGGGGAGATGGAGAAACCCTGAGGGGTGATCAGGGCCGGCCCAGCTGCTTGCACCTGCTGACAGTGCCAAGCAATCAGGGCCAGCAGCGGGTGTGAGCACCAGGTGGGACTGCAGTGTGCATGAGCAAAGAATTTTCAGTAACCACCAGAGGCTCACCCTGATGACAATGACCGACGCCCCACCTTGGTCTTACGCCCCCGCTCACCTGCTCTACCATCCCATTGCGGCCAACACCCTCCATGCTCCTTACTCTGCCACCTGCTGCTAAAGCCTGCCATGTTCTGAGCGTGCCCCTGGTAGTCAGCGCACATCATAGTGACCCGTTGTTCGGTTCCCCCCCACCCCTCGATCTATTTGCATATTAGGTTTTAATATATATAGACAGCTAACACATTCAGTGCTCACCCTGTGCTTTGTATACTAATTTACTTTTCCCTAGAGTAGTGGTTCTCAACCTTGGCTGCACATTAGAATCACCTGGGAATCTTTTTAAAATCCTGATTTCTGGGCCTCATCCCGGTGAAACCCACTGCCCTAGAGCAGTGGTTGGCAAACTGGGAGCCACATGCAGCTCTTTGGCCCCTTGAGTGTGGCCACAAAGTTTCAATCGCACTGTACGTGCGAACCTGCACGTGGTATTTTGTGGAAGAGCCACACTTAAGGGGCTGCAGTTTGCCGACCGCTGCCCTAGAGGAAGCTGAAACACAGGTTAAACAATTTCCCCAAATCACACATCAAATGGTGCAGCAGGTATACCATCCCAAGGAATTCTGGAAGCCATGCTATACAGCACGATGCTATCTAGGACTGCCTTTCTAATTACTTTGTAATGTTTATGGCCGGTATATTCCCACTGGAACGTAGGCTGCATGTGAGAGCATCTTTTAAAAGCGACTGTTATCCTCAGTGCAGAGATCACTGCCTGCCAGGTCGTTCCTAAATAAAGGCTGAAAAATGGGTTAAATTATAACTCGAAAAGAAAAAATGGTCGGGATCAGCAACAAATGCATACCTCGAAGGCTCTTTCAGGCCGCCAAGAGGGAGTTAGATTCGGTGGCCTGGAAAGCGAGGCAGGGCCGATGGGCTCCTGGGAGCAATGTTGGCGGAGTCAGGAGATGCGGCCTAAGGGACTGGCAGAGGGGGCGAGGCTAGAACGGAACAACTGATCACAAGAAATATTCCTTCACCCAACAGTCCTAAGACTCCAAAGGAGAGAGGGCTCAGCGATGAGCAAACACGGCTGTAACAGGACAGTCCTTTAGAATTACTACCTAGGGAGGCGGTCCCAGAGGGCACGTCCGCCCCGCCTCCAGCCACCACTGTAGGATCGGCCCCCGTGGCCCCGCCCACCCAGTGACCCCGCCCCTGGAGCCCGGCGCGAGGTGACCCGGAAGCGGTTGGAAGCGTCGGGGAGCGCGTCTGCCTCCTTTTCCGGTTGGCGTGGTTTGCGAGTGCAGCGGCCGCCGCGCCCGGGCCTTCACCATGAGCGTCCCGGCCTTCATCGACATCAGTGAGGAAGACCAGGTGTGTTCCCGGGCCGCGGGGCCGCCAGGGCGGGGCTGGGGGTGCCTTCGGGTGTGAGGGCCGAGTGGGGGCTGGGTGGGAGGGACGCCGGCTCTGCCGCCCTACGAAGCCGACTCGGGCTGAGACTCGCAGCTCACCCTCCACACGTGAGAGTGGAGAGGCCGGGAGAAGGAGCCGG